TTGTTTTGTTGTTGGCATAAAATATATCAAAAAAATAAATCACTATGGAGCTAGGTTACATGATTTCATGAGATAAGAAAAGATGGTATTTATGCCAAAAGGCAAAATTGAGATAAACAACACCTGTTCAAAAGTTAGCATCCATCTCGAATAGAGTGTACGTCTCTCAGTACACGATTGTACTTGCATCAACAATGTGCCAGACATACAATATGATGAATATGAATTAAATTTGAAATTTCTTATAATTAATATAATTTCCTAGATGATTTTTATTAAAACTTAGAGATGTTGATCAATGTTTTTGTGAAAATATAGAATAGATCTATGCAGGTTTATTCTGTGAAAGGTGAGAAAAGATCACGCATATGCAGGAATACATTATTTTTAAATCTAGCAGATAATTATAACAGTACTTCAAAACTCAAAAATGTGTATTTTTCAGCAAAACTAATTCATAAATTATGGATAAACAGCAATATAAATATTGCTAGATAAAAAACTGTTCCTTTCTGATTTCATAAGTATGTAGGTTGCATGAGGATCTGATAAAATAATATTTCACCTCACTACTAGTTCTCCAATTAAACTCGCGCAGGTTGGAACTGACACGGTTCACACACATTCTTCAACAGTGGGTTAAAATTAATTCAGGGTGTCTATAGGGTAACATGTATAATTTAAATACTACATTGTATGTTATGACAAATTTGTGGCTTTTATAAGATTTAATGAGGCTACTCAGAAACCAATGGTAGCCACTTACTGAATACTCAGCCATGGCAATTCTCATTACATAATAATGAACACTGTTTGATTAACACTTTAACACAATCATAATGCACTATAAATGTCAAGTAGGTAGATAAACGATGTGATAATACACTGAAGAAATAATAAGGCTGCGACCTCAAAAGATATACTGTGGTACATTGGCTGCTCTTTATCAAGCTCAAGTTGCATAATTTGTTAATGCAATCACATATACTTATTTTCAAACTAGAGAGGTGTATTCGTGGACTGTTGAAAAAGTAATTTAGAATACAGTATTACTTATTTACATTTAAAAACCAACAAAAACAGTTGAATTAAAAACACATAAATACCAATTTAGTCATGAGGAAGATGGTCTTCCAAAACCACAAAATACCAGCCAAGAAAGAGGCAAGTGAAATGAAAGATATTTAACAAATCTTCAATGTCGTGCCGTGATATTTCACTTTTGTTCAAAGTTTGTTTGTGCAATGAAATAATCAGTCTGCCAGAGCCTTTTCCTTTTCCGAAATTTTATTATCTATCCAGGTCACTGTAATTAGCCATTTTAGATGCATTTTTGATGATATTTAGAAGAAAGAGACAGAAAGCGAGGTGTAAATCTTCACTGGAGGAATCAGTTGTTGAACTTCATTATTGTAAAGAAAGACAAGTTGAATATTAGAGTTTTTATTGGAGCCTGCTAAATTTGTGACATCATGTTGATTTTCAGACCATGTAAACTCAACTACTATACCATGCAAGTTGGGCTGTCGCTCGGGCTACATGTAAGTCAGTGAAAACAGTTACAGCAAACAGCTGATAATAAAACCTGAAAAATTTAACAGTTTGTTGATGTTTGGAGTTGTGACAATTTTCAAACTAATAATTGGCAATCAAACATTTTTAATACTTATAAGACTTTTCATATTTTTTGGCTAGTTTTAGGAGATGATAATGTCAGCAGGGCATCTTACCTTTTGGGTTTGTTATTTTATCAAGGATGTAACTAATATTTGTAAGCCCAGGAAGCTGCTTTTACCATAGTTTTCCAAATTTTTTAAATATTTTTTCTGACTTAACGATGAACACTAGTTACAACACAGTTGAACATAACAATTTCTAAGTATACAGCCACATTGTAATGTTATGCAGTCACCAAATGTCATGTATATAACTTCAAATTAAATTTTCATTAGCAATACATTAAATTGGCTTGGTTGGATTCAACTGCAGTTTATAAATATTTATCAAAACCAAATGACTCAGTTTGTATAAAAAAAAGGCAGCTAATTGTTAAATTATTCAACAAAGGTGAATAACTTGTTACATCAAAATTAACTGGCAGGTCATTTATGAATAAGTGGATTGGGCATAAACTGCAGCCTTGTTTGACACCGGATATGGTTAGAAAATCAGTTGTTAGTCCTCAGTTTCCACCTTATATTTAACCACAATATCGGGACTGTGATTTAACAATGTATTTTTGATATTCACAAATATCACTAGTTTAAGTGGTTTTCAAGTAAGTGAATATGTATTTTTTTTTGGGGGGGGGGGGCATAAATATTTTAATCTGTTCAGACACATTGGCCATGCAACAGAAGTAGGCAGATGCAACTAATAATATATTTATACTAGTTATAGTAAAGACGAATTATTAACCATGATGAAGTAATGTCCGACATCACGGTTAATAACTGCAGCTACCGGTACAACAGTGCCGGCATGGAGCAAATACCAGTTTTGTAGAATAAACGGGTATTACATAAAATATCTAGTGTCAGAACGTAAATTTAAAAAATGACCGAGAATGACCGAGAACGAATTGAAGAAAATCCAAAAATAGAAACGAATGCTTTATTTTTCTAGTGCTGTCAGCTAAAAATAGAACGGTATGTAAACAAAAGAGAAAGCGTCTACAACTTTCAAGTAATAATTGATTAAACCAGCGTGGTTTATCGATGACTCGAACGAAGGATGTGTAGTAGAAGTTACGGCGTACTATGTCAAGGAGCAATCGCATGGCACACGCAGTCATTACACAAGAAAGTTCCAATGTCGAACTAAAAGATTTGGACATTTACGTCGTCATAAAATTATGTGACATCTTTACTTATTTTAAGAAATGGAACTGGAAGATTTACCTTGTCCGAATTTAAATCGGGGTCTTCTTGACACAGTCTGCATAGGAAAGACTTTGGATCTCTACATAACGTTGTCCTTGTCGTTAGAAAAATCTGTCCCCCGACATTAAGCTTTACCCATTTCTTTTTTGAGGCGTCGCTACCCGATTCGCCATCCATTTCCACCGAATGATTGCTGCTCCAGCTTGAATTCGTCGCCATCTTTTATGCTCAATCAACAGCGCCCTCTTCCGGCATTTTTGTTCTTTCGCCTGCCAAGTCGTTTCAGCTAATTCCAGAACGTTAGGATTTACAACATAAATTTTAGCAAATAATTTTGGCGATATTTTTTACAATAACTTGTTCAATGTATTTATTTTATATATAGTATTTTTGTATAATTTATTTTAATGATCGTTAACAATAAATCAATAAAGTATGTAAGATGTTGGGAACGAGGAAGATTATTAAATAGCGCCACCAAGAGACATAATCGTTGACAACTTTTTACCATATTCGTCAGTTGCTTTGTATAACCACAATTCATGTTTGTCATATGTATTTTTATGTAACTCGCATCACTATTAATATACTTAAAAAAAATATACATAGTATAGTGGTTTATGACCATATAAAGTTGTTTATACGGATATTATTTGTATATATTCAATTTATCAAACTAATAACGATAGCGCATAGGGTCAGCGGTAAACTATCTGACCTCCGCCATTTTGTTCACCCGGCGAGTGTGTTGGAAAATCTCGTATTGTAAATTATTGAAACATGGCAGCCCGACGTGTGGGCCAGAAATTCGTTGACTTCGCTGCATTTGCGGAGAGAGTGCCACCCAACCAACGAGCACAATTTCTCGCACTGAAGAGCAAGTCAGAAGCCATTAAAGCAAAGTAAGTAAATCAAGTGTCGAACGTCTACGTGCAACTTGTAGAAGCCGGCTTCATGTACATTCTATACGGTACCGGTGGTACAATTTTTTCACACTATACGATCGCACGTATCAAAATTAGATATTAATAAATAAAGCTTAGATTTCCATATAAATTTGGAAAACTATACGATAATAATTACCGGTAATATAACTAGCTGCGATGCTAATAATATCCCTATCGTCATTCACTCAATCTAAAAGTCAACCCTAATAGTTGTGAACTGTGTGAAAGTGAACATAGTGATTAACATTTTTACAACCAATCAATAACGTGTTTTTCCAGAGAGCATCCAGCCTAGATTTGAAACAGTTCAGCAGTGGAGCAGAAACAATGCCTTGTTGTGAAGGGCATTAAATGGTATATTATATAAGTGTACATAATAGTCCTGTCTTAGGAATGCCATTTTTAATGAGTGCATTATTTTAGGATAATGTTTTTGGGAGAAATTAGGGTTAGTGTTTAGAGTAGGTAAGGGGTCTATATATAATTTTGCCATTATTTAAACCAAAGACATTGCTAAAATGACTATTCAGCTTTTTATTCGAAATGGCGATGTTAACGAAACTCTAAACATCTCAACAACAATTCAATAGTAAAAACAGTGTTTACAGAGCTCAAGTTTGCAGTAAATTTATTATTTATGGCCTCTGGTACTAGTGATATTCGTCTCTGGGTAGCCATAGACAATCAATCAGGACAGTGTGGGTAGCTTTCCAGTATAAGTAAAGTTGCTCATATCTGAGATCATCAGGGCGCTTTGCACATTATCAACAAAATCATATCACATTGATGATACATTAGCAATAAAATTGTATTGTTGGCAAACTTTTGTTTGTATATGTTAATAATAATTTATTCACTTGTATTGCACTTTACAAACCTGATTGATCAAAAACAGTAATCAAGTACAAGAGAATTTTGACAGAGAGCCACTCTCTGATTTTAGATGATATTATTCATACTTAAAAGAATGCCAATTTACAACCAAAATTTACAAACAAAAGAGAAGCCATAGACAAATGGTTGTTAAAAATCACGTAGAAATTACATACATTATCACTGAACTGCTGTTCACATTAACAGAACTGATTTAATTAGCAACATTTGCTATTGATTATTAAAATATCTGTTTTATCTGGATTTAGTTGAAGCATAGAAATTAATGTTGTACTGTAATAGATACATGTACGATAGCTTAAGCTAGAATATCCACATCGCCAATAGCCATGCTGGAATTGGGTTGACTTCTTTGGGACTATAAACCAGAGGTAGATATGAGGTTAGAAATTAGCTTTGTAAATTCATAGCGCCAGTTTGTTTTATAGAGTCCTGGTCATGGCATTCATAACAGATTCTACCAATGGGAGAACTTCTACACAGAAGAACTTTGATTTGGGACAACTACTCCAGATCCTATGCATGAGAATTAGATCACTGTGTGAACTAGGTCACTTGTACTATACAGTGGCAGAGAAAATATGTTTCAACAATTACTGCTTTAACTTTTAGCATATATACATGTATTATTGTAAAATCAATTTTTTTCCTGCATTATTTCAGTCTCCTTTAGCATCTTTTTTTGTGCCAAGCTCAGTAGCGATGTTGTCCAACTATTGCTAATAGAATTGATCGTCATTATAATGCCATTCTTAATCCCACAAGACACAAGAGAAAAATTTGAAATGTCAATCTATTTAATTAGTTTTGTAATCTATGAAATCATTGGTTTACCAAGTTTAATGTAATGGTGTCTGTTGTCCAAGACACTACCTTAAATGTAATCATTTTTATACTAGTATAAGGTGACTGATAAGTCTACTGGGCTAGGCAGTTCTTTGAGCTGCAGGTCACTATAATAAATTACTTACTTATAGTGCTGTGTAACCCACTAACCTAAGTAACATAGTCGGTTCATACATGTACATGTATGCCAGTACTGTAGTGACCTGTGACAATATTTATTGAATTAGTTCTGAATTCTCTTTATGTTCATTTGAATATTTTTTATTAGATTTACTGCGCTTCCTGAAAAACCCAAAGCTATTGACTGGGCTTATTACAGAAAAAGGGTGCCAGTTGCTGGCCTTGTCGATAAATTTGAAAAACAAGTAAGTGCTGGTTTTGAAGTTATTTTACTTAATTTCTGTCATTCATTGCTGTAAGTAAGTGAGTATTTATTTTAATCACATGAGAAACAAACATGTGTGTGTGTCACTTTCCATAGCTCAATTCATTAACAGAAACTCACCAATTTGACTTGTCAGTAGGCCAACCACTAAAACTGTTTTCAGTCACACTACCATTCTCTGTTGATTTTCAATAGCAGTACCAATAAGTTCACACAAAATCATTTACCATGTTTTATTCATCAATCCTATTTCAGTACAGCGCAGTGAATGTTCCATATCCGAAGGATACAGCTACTGCAGCAGTAGAAGAACAAGAGAAACAGATGGTATGTATCCATGTTCAAAGTACAGTAGAACATCGATTATCCGGACGTCGATTATCTGAAATGTTCGGTTATCCGAACCTACTGTGTGTCCCCCAAAGTTTGTATGCAGGTCTGGCTGTGTTCCGTGTAATACGAAAGTCAACTGTGAACAATAAATACTACAGTCGTCTTGTGTAATTTCCTGGTGCAATACTTTCACTAAAGCTGTTATCAACATGTAATCCGACGTCTTTCACGTGTACGTTCATTGTTTACAGTGTCTGCGCAAACAATGAAACGAATTACAGTATCCAATAATTTCCTAAATTCAGACAAGCCTATTATGCCACACCAGTGTTCCACTGTAAATAAAAAAATGTCCTAAAAACACAAACTTCATCAAATGTCTTCTTCACTGTTTACAGTCAGATCCTTAACTTTACCAAGTTGTAAGTCACCGCAGTTCGGATACGTTTCTCGGGAAAATTGTACGGGGTTCCATTACCGTCAAAGAAACGCGGCCATGAGCCGATCCCATGTTTTTTCCGATTTTTAATTTTAATGTCCAGTATCAGAAGTCACATCCTTTTCGGAATAAAAAAAGAAAGAAAATAACTGGCATGTCTTGCCACAGAAGTGACACCAGTTTAATAGTGCAGTGAAAAAGAGAGACGAAACGACAATCCCTTGGTGTGCCTCTTTGATGGTTTATCAGCAGACAACGGCAACCAATGACCACAGTCGGCGGGCAGTTTGATGGTTCACAGCGTCAAAGTGTTTACGTCCGATGATCACAGTAGCCAACCTGAATTTTTACAACAATTTATTATGTCAATCGTTCTAGGTGTTAAAAACTTTGCTGAATCCAATAAAATCTTGTAGCAGTTTACCATTCGAAAATCCCTGAGCAATCTGGTAACATCGAGCCGATCTATACACAGCGAATACGAAGCGATCTTTCACCTGTTTACTTTATCAGCATCTTTTATCTAGCGTTGGCATGGCTACCCCCAGTGAAATGCAAACGCAGTGTGCTTGATTTGGACGTGAAGGTGTCAATTATAAATCGACTAGAACGTGGCGAAACCGCAAGCAATCTATCTACCGAGTATGGTGTTGGTAAATCGACGATATCCGATATCAAGGCAAAACAAAAGCTGCTGTATTTTTTCAGTAAAATGGATTCAAGTGCAGGACTGAAACGAAAGATAACGAAAACAGCCTATGACGATCGTTCAGAGAAATCCGTCTTCACTTGGTTCCGGGACTTGGTTTTCCCAAGAAAGGAGCAAAGGAACTTTATTATCGCTACATTTTACGGACATTTTGAAACATTTTTTAATATTCCAGCACGCAACATTTTTATTACAAATGTACATTACTGATTAAATAAAAATGTTTTTAATGACGTACTCTACATGTACTATTGTTTGATTTCATTACAGTCATGTGCGTTAGAATTTGTGTGTACATGAGCCTGTAAATATGAGCACGCCCACACAAGATCGCATATCCGAACTGTTTGCATAACCGAACAAAAAGCATGTCCCCCTAACAGTCCGGATAATCAACGTTCTACTGTATGAAATATTCAATAGATGTTTACAACCAGCCATTCACATTGATCATTTCACTGGAGTGCTTGAGACAGGAAGTCACATTACTCATCTCCCTGGAATTTTTGAGACAGGAAGTCACATTACTCATCTCCCTGGAATTTTTGAGACAGGAAGTCACTTTACTCATCTCCCTGGAGTTTTTGAGTCAGGGAGTCACATTACTCATCTCACTGGAGTCTATGAGACAGGGGGTCAGATTGATCATTTCACTGGAGTTTTTGAGACATGGAGTCACATTACTCATCTCCCTGGAGTTTTTGAGACAGGGAATCGCATTACTTATCTCACTGTAGTCTATGAGACGGGGAGTCGTATTACTCATCTCAGTGGAGTCTGTGAGACAGGGAGTCGCATTACTCGTCTCAGTGGAGTCTGTGAGACAGGGAGTCGCATTACTCATCTCAGTGGAGTCTGTGAAACAGGGAGTCGCATCACTCATCTCAGTGGAGTCCGACACAGGGAGTCGCATTACTCATTCATCTCAGTGGAGTCCGACACAAGGAGTCGCATTACTCATCTCAGTGGAGTCCGACACAGGGAGTCGCATTACTCATCTCAGTGGAGTCCGACACAGGGAGTCGCATTACTCATCTCAGTGGAGTCCGACACAGGGAGTCACATTACTCATCTCCCTGGAGTCCTTGAGACAGGGAGTCACATTACTCATCTCCCTGGAGTCTTTGAGACAGGGAGTCACATTACTCATCTCAGTGGAGTCTTTGAGACAGGGAGTCACATTACTCATCTCAGTGGAGTCCTTGAGACAGGGAGTTAGATTGATCATTTCACTGGGGTCTAGGCTAATTTGAATCTGTATAGTTTGTTTTGTCAAACAAATAATAAATAAGACTTTCTGATATAATCCAATATCTCGGTACTACTTTGTGTCAGTTCTTTTTTACCTGTCTGATAAAACATCATGGAATAGAATGTAAATGTTTTCTGTATTAAGACAATCCCCAAAATGCTGTGTTCAAATGCATGTACATGTATTTATACTATCTATTGTTAGTCCCCGTTCGGACGTAGTCCGAAAACGGGACTTGTGTTTTGCCCTGTGTGCGTCCGTGATCACCTCTATCTCGAACATGCAAGGACCGATTAAGTTCAAACTTCACTCATACATGACACATTATATGGGACATATGCACATGCATTTTTTTCATGATCCGATTAACGATAGCCGAATAGCGGCCATTTTAAGGCCGAAAATGCATCAAAATCGCACATTTTCACCATTCCGGACCCGGATCTCAGTTATACATGGACGGATTTCGTTCAAATTTGGTACATACATTAAACATAATAGGACCTTGATGCACGTCATTTTTTTTTTCGGATCAAGTTCGAAATGGCCGACTGGCGGCCATTTTGTTTTAAAGAATTCAGTTCTGGATCCGTATCCGAGACATGTCTGGATTGATCAAGTTCAAACTTCACACACACAAGGTACATCATATCACAAATATGTATGTGCATTTGTTTCATGATCCCATTAAGGATAGCCAAATGGCGGCCGCTTTAAGGCCGAAAATGCATTGAAATCGCACATTTTCACCATTCCGGACCCGTATCTCAGTTATGCATGGACGGATTTCGTTCAAATTTGGTACTTACATTAAACATAATAGGACCTTGATGCACGTCATTTTTTTTTCCTGGATCAAGTTCAAAATGGCCGACTGGCGGCCATTTTCTTAAAGAATTCAGTTCTGGATCCATATCCAAGACATGTCTGGATTGATCGAGTTCAAACTTCACACACACATGGTACATCATGTCACAAATAGATATGTGCATTTGTTTCATGATCCGCTTAACAATAGCTGAATGATGGCCATTTTAAGACCGAAAATGCATTAAAATCACGTATTTTCACAATTCCGGAACCAGATCTCAGTCAGGCATGGATGGATTTTGTTCAGATTTAGTACAATGTGTTGTACATATGCAGGTGCATTTCGGTCATGATCTGCTTTGAATGTATATGTCACTCAAATATGAACGGAACGGGGACGTGTCATTGACAATGACTTGTTATATCTACTTCTAGGACAAACTTGCAGCGGATTTCAAAGTAGAATCAGAGAAACGTATTGCTGAATATGAGAAAGAGGTATGACTACTTTATAGCAAGTAAAATGTTTTCTTTTCAGAAAGCAGTAAAATATGCACTTAATGTATTTAGTTGTATGCTGGACCAATGTGTTGCATATTGTTAACATTTCATTTGAAAAATGCTCCTATATATAGCATGGAACAATATACACAGCACAGTCTGTTTAATTTTGCCTTATCCAAGTAAAAATGTAATTATCCCAGATTACTTATTACTTATTATAAAGCTTTATTCCTGAATTACTGTGGTATGTAGAGCACTATTTAAAAGCATTGGCAAATGGAATTCAAACCTTCAAATGAAAAGCCGAAACTCTCTGAAAATCATGTAATTTAAATTTTTAGTACATATTTTTCATTATTAGGGCCACGAAATATTTCACATAATAGTCCAGACAACCCCAAAAAAGCTTTGATTGTCTTAGAGTGCAATTTTAATAAAACCTGAATGTTTATATGCAATCTTATTAAGTTATCTTTGTATTGACAGCTGGCTCAGTGGACTACTATGATACCATTTGAAGACATGACTAAAGAAGAGTTTGCTGAGACCTTCCCAGAAACTCTTGAACAGAGAAAGAAATATCCTCACTGGCCACATTACCCATACTGGGAATAATACCCGATTGATGTTTTAAAAATGGTGTTTGAATTCTCAAGTTTGTCTCTAATAATTGAACCTTAGGCCATTTGAGAGGTTTGTGGTGTTGTACATGTAATATGTTTTAATGGCATAATAAATGCATTTGTTGAAATCCTTAAGTTTTCATGTTTCACTAAGGATGCCAGAAACTTTGTATAAATGTCAAAACAGGGACTTGTGGATTGCCCAAACTAACTTTAACAGAATGAACTAACTCGTCTCACAGCTCCATAAGTTACCGGTAATCAAACAATCTTCTACCTCTGTTTCAAATACGAGGAATCATCGATTGATATCGATTCATAAAGGATATATCATGCACACCCTGTAATTTTATTTGTTTCGAAGCCTAGAGAAAGAAAAGACTTGTAAATTTATCATACTTACTGCACAGTAAGTTCAGCTGGTGCTTTTAAATTAAATTGGAGAGGAGTCAAGCTTCTTCCTAAGTTATTGAAAAAAAATATGGCTAAGGATTGGGTTCAAACTTGCACTACGTCCTCTGCCATCTGAGCTATTATGGATTCTGATGGGGGTACAAATGCACTTTTGTATTCATGAAAATTTAGAGGAGCTGCTCAGCTAGCCCACTTGTTTATTAGTCACTCCAATTACTTGCATTGTATACACTTTACACGGTTTATTAAAGTTAGATATTTGGGAATACTACTGTGCTTCAGTGTTGGAAAAGTGGAGTGAAACTGAAGATTTTACAGGTGTTACCCATGACTCCAGAGGGTGCCATGCACCTGGTGGGTGATACCATTATTTTTAGGTCAACTGTTGAGCTAACCATATTGTCTTTACCGACTTCTTGAAAACCAAAAGTTTGATTGCTTTGATATCATACATGTAGGTACTTCAGGTGGACCTCGGCCTGCTTGTTTTAATTCTGGGGGGGTCAATTTGGTCCAGAACATCTGGACCAAATCCATTTATTCTTTGCATGTGTCTGGGACATGTGAACATAATGTGGTTTAGTGATTTGATCCAAAATGATAAACTGCTAGCCATCTTGTTTTTTGAAAATGTAGTATTGTAGACATGCTTTGTCAGTTTTTGTTCAAAATTCGGTGGATGAATGTCCATGACAATTTGTTTTACAATTGAATCAAAGACTGGTAACTGTACCACTATATCAAAGATGGTTGACTGTTGGTAATCATCCTTTTTGGCCGTACTTCTATATCTAAGATACCCATGTACAGTCTCATATTTTTGTCAAACATAATACCGGTACATGCCTATGTTTATTTGTAGGAAAATCTTCATAATGAAAAACAAAACAAGCATTCTGACTGAAATAGTCCCACTGTTTTACAAGAACACTGTGGTAGCCAAGTTAAGTAATGCACAAGCATAAGACAAACTTGGTTTAATAGATTCTGGCTATTATGAATATTATAACCCAACCTCAAACTGTTTACAAAAATGATCTACACATCAAATAAAACCGGCTGTTAGTTTTCAAAAAGAAACTGAAAATATCATTTGAACCCAAAGTAACAAATATATTATAAAATAGAGAATCGATGATATTGTCTATTAAAGTGTAAATATCACTTTTTACCAAAAATGACAAAAATATTAGAAAATTGAAGGTATTGTCTAGAAATGCACAAATCTAAGAGGTTTGCCCATGGTACATATACACCAAGTATCAAAGCAATCAGGCTTGTAGTTGAAAAAGTTGACATTGACGACTGACATTCACTCGTATAAGCTCCGCTCGTCGACAACGGAGCGAAAAATATTGTCACAAAATGAACAAATTTTGAATGAGGTACCTACATGTAAAGTATCAAAGCAATCGGACTTTTCGTTTTCAACAAAAATTCAAAAATATCACTTGAGCTGGTCAAAGAAGTCAAACACGCAATTACTGGCGAATGGACAATCCTTTATATGAACAGCTCGTGTGATATCTACGATGACAGCAGAGCTTGAAACGGATTATTTAGAATAACATGAGTCGAATTGCAAATGATTTCCTCCTGTCGTGCATATTAGCTAGTACAACAGATTACGATTAAGAGTAAACTTTAACTGACACTCCAGGTTGTATATTCTCAATCATACATTGTATATTACGATAGTCACGTGGTCCACATTTATGTTTGACTTGTGCCTTGTTCTCATTAAATTGTTAAGTGCCTTAGTTTCCCACTATGAACATTGTTGAGTATAACAAATAAGCTGGCATATGCTTACGATACTAGAGACGTGAACTGTACTTGAGTTTGGATATAAAGTATGTGACCATGTATTATAATACAAAATTAGAAGTCATTTGATAAATCTGATTTTTGTTGATACTAGATTAATCCTAATTGCTGACCATAATTCAATTTGTGATCAGATAAAAAACATTAGACTTGAAGCCATCTTGCTTTTTTTTGGCCACTTTGGCATGAATATCATTTCCCCTAATTGCAACTGGGACTGTGTCATTAATAATATAACAATACCCTCCAAGCACATCAGACTAAACCCAATGGTGTGGAGTATGTATTGATAAAATACACAACAGCCACTGGTATATTAAATTCATATTTCTATTTATTTCCCTTTATGTACACATACATAAAATCCCCCTCAACAATAACATTACCACAAAAACTACACCATACCCAGCTATATGTATGACAGTACATAGCGACCACACCATGTTACCGGTAATATGTAGCCCACATATACATTATTTCTTTGTATTAAATTATTTATAATTTAGTTGACTTTCCTTTGTTTAAGTCTTTGTTTTATTGCAACCATATATCTTGATAAGATCAAAGATTTGTGAAATTTGAAGATAGTCACCATGACAAGTAGTTAAGAGATACCACTCTTGATCTAACACAAATATTCTTGAAAAAGTCAGATAAATAGTCTTGCAATGCACAAAAATATATAAACACAAGGCCCCGGAGATTGCTATTTTACTTATTTCATAACAGCACCATGAAATTAATCAAAATTAAGTAGTGGATACTAAAATATGTACAGGTGGCAGAGGAATGCTTAAAGTGAAAATGGCTAAAGATGACATGTGCATCAATTGTGACGAGTTAGACTAGATAAAACATTAAATGTTATCCAACTTGATTCACAGCAGATATGCAATAAATGGTGCTCAACATATTAAACAAATAATATTCAATTCTCTGCATTCCCCATATCATTGCTGTGATTGACTATTTGACATGTACATCCCACTGCTCAACTGATTGATAAAGGATTGTATCCAGAATGCCTTGCTATTTTTCACTATTACTGGTGTTTTTTTACATCCCAGCTGGTAAGTTTTATATATTTAACACCTCCATATAACTGTACTAAAACATCTTGTTATAACTTGTGATACATTATCACTAAAACTCAGTAGACAGAGTGTTATTATTGCAAACTTGAACAGAATGCTTTTGTTCAGTGGAAGTGTGGATAGTTTATAAATGTTCACTTGACCAAATACCCATGAGAATAATCTATCAAAATGGTAAATCCCTCAATATGTTGTAGTTCTTCAATAAAAAAAACAAAAAACTGTATAGTTGTCCAATGAATTATTGAATAAAGCAAGCTACTGTACACTGATCTACCATCAATATCTTTGATTAGAAAACTGTTACAAAACATTGACAAGATGATGAACAACTTGTAACTGTGGTTTCACCATTTCTAAAGTGAAAATGAGCACATCCACAATGTTCTTGTATCAAGTTCTTGTACTGCAACCACCAAAATACGCCATCTTTTACTGTGCCTTCAGTAGTTCTTGTATCTATCAATAGAAACATAAAACATCCTCAACACAAGAGAACTGAGAAACATCGGAACAATCATAATTGAACACATGGGCTGCTGAAGGCCTCAATGCACAGCCAAAAAGAATGGTGAAATAAATAGTACCAGCAGGCAATGTGTTTGGAAAATCTGTTTTGACTACTGGAGTTATCTGAAGATGTAGTAGACTTTCATTGGGCGAAACGAAAAAAGCTTGTTAAAAAAAGGTACTGATTAAAGCATGACAATGTTATTGTAGCCCTTGTAACATTCTATCCATTAACAAACTGATGTCAAGGTGAATTACATCACATGACTGCTAAATAAACAAAGTCTTTAGTCTTGGCATATTTCATCTATACTAGAAAAATGTGTAGACAAATTTGATACCAAATCAGGGTACTCAGTTCGCACAGCCCCAATAAATCCCAATGATATCTAAACAAATATTTAATTAATAACTGCACCAAAAGCAACAACTTTTTTTTTTTTGGGGGGGGGGGGGGGGGCTAGATATACTAGTGTTGTTATGTTTTTACCTGTTGTCTGTACATCTCTTTGACATCTTGTAAATCAAGCCTCAATTCTTGCGACTCCTCCAGTTTCTCACCATACATCTGTAACACAGCATTGTGTTTACGATCCAAGACCTAACAACAAAAATTGAAATTAAATATAGTATTTTTTACAAGACATACATTGTATAAAACAAGTCAGTCCCCCTGCTTATATCGGTAAGAGTGATTATACAGTGTGTATCAACAAAAAGGGTATTCTGCGAAGAAACAATATTAGATAAATTCCTGCATTGATAAAACAAAAAAATTCCAGGCAAACAAACCTCTATCTGCTCTTTTAGATAAGGTATTTGCCCAACATCATCTTCTAGTATTTCATTTCTATTTGATAAGTTCACTAATTCTTCTGCCATTGATGCTCTTGTTCTTTCAAGCTGTGAAATCTCAACCTAAATATATATATAAAACAAAAAAAGACTGTTTAGAAACATGTACCTTTTTATACGAGTTGCCTATTTTATCCCTTCATCATGAACAATTCTAAATTTTGTTTTCATCTTCAGGAAACAAGACAATCTCAGGTAAGAAATATGAATATTAATGGAAGCAGATCTCCAATAGAAGCACACACAAAACAAAAATTACATTAATTGTTTGCAAAATCATTGAAATATAATTTATTTTCAAAAAAATGTTCAAATGTTTTTTTTCTTTCTTAAAAATGCATAAATTAACCAAAAAACATGGGTAATTATAATATAATTAAAAATATAACTAATTTCATAGTCATACAGGAGGTATTGAATTCCTTTGAATTTTTG